GGGGGGCACGATTTGTCCGCCCCAGGGGGCGCCTCAATCTTGAACAGAGGGCGCTCGTGCAACGTGCGATTGTGGGAGGCCGGGTACGCACCGCACATGCGTTAGTGGATGGGCCGGCCTGCCCAAGCCGTGTCGGACAGCAAGGCACAGAAACCACACACACACAATTTGTTAGCGCAGTGAGTGCAACAATGTGGGGCCCATTTCATCGGCCACGCGGCCGGGACACGATGAATGTGGTGACGTCTACCCGGCCTGCTCCGCATAGCTTGCATTACACACGCGACAGCGTATACTATCCTCGTTATACAATGCGGCGCCCAGGCCTGGAGCAAAGGCTGGGGCCCTGAGGCGTGGCACGGTTTCCGCCGGGCCCTGGCAGGGCCCCCAGACTGGATGGCTTGAGGCGTAGATCCGCTTGCAGTCCTACGCAAACCTCTCCCCCCATGCGCGGGGGGGAGGAAACGGGGGGGAGGAGGCGGGAAAGCCTTCGTCTGGACCTCCGTGCGCGTCCAGACCGTTGCGGTGACGAGGGGGGCTTGGCCTGGGGTGTCAAGCCCCCTCTGCCCTCGAAAACCCTTGCAAGATTGGGAAGATCATGCGAGGGAAGTACGGCGGGGAATGGGCTTGCAAGTAGGTGGCGAGATATAGTTTTTACCCTGTAAATCGGAAACCCTTGTCACAATATACAGCTACGGGACGATTGTGTGACAAAACAAAGGCGGGACCGCCAGCATTTCCGCTGGGGGTCTATACCTCTGTTGTGCGAATGAGGAGTGGAAGCAGGACCGCCAGCATTGCCGCCGGGCTGTCCCAAAGGTCGATGCCTCTGGTGTGAGAGCGTGGAATGAAGGCAGGGCCGCCGGCATTGCGCCGGGCTGTGTCCTGGAGGTCAACACCTCTGGTGTTCGCGCGTGGGATGGCAGCAGGGCCGCCGGCATTTGCGCCAGGCTTGTTCTGGAGGTCAGTGCCTCAGGTGTGCGAGTGGTGAGAGTAAGCAGGACCGCCGGCCACGCGGGCTGTGTCCTGGAGGCTAGCACCCGTGCTGGCCTCTTGCCACTGTCGCCCAGCTAGTCACTCCTCCAGGGGCTCGGCTGGGGTGCTCGTCGGGTGTGGCAAAACCGCACCCTTAGTGGCGCCCCGTGCGTCCCTAGCCGATTCCCCCAGGAGAGTCTGGAGCAGCACTGGCACGGGGAAGAGGAGGAGGTGGAGGAGGAGGAGGAGGAGTGAGTGAGTGGGTGAGTGGGTGAGTGGGTGGGACGCGGGGCGCTCTCCCTTCAAAACGAAGACCCAACACCACAGGATGGTTGGCGCGCCGCGCGGGTATCTAGGATCTTCGCTGGACCCCCATCCCTCTCTCTAGCGCGCGGAGCGCGCCAGGGGCGGCGCCAGAGGCGCCGCCAGGGGGGGGATCCAAGAAATCCGCGCGGGGCGCCAAAACATTGTGTTTATGGCGTTGTTTCTTCTTCGAGTCCCCACATCGGGACAATGAACCAATCCTGTTCGGTCCTTCCCCTCTGTTGATTTCCTGGCACAAGAAAGCTCCAAGTCCAACACGGAGGAAGACCAAACAGAGTGACTGTCCACCAGTGGACAACGATTCCCTCGACCTCATCCTTTGCCTCCACCTCACCAATCTTCTCTTCTCCCTCGTGTTGCGACACTCCCCCTATAGTTCTAACGTTAACCCCCCATCAGTACTTGCACTTAGGGTTTCGCAGTGTGGCCGTGTGGTGAGGCGGCTATGTAGCCGCAGTCGCCGCCACGTCGCCGCCTCGTCGCCGCTCGTCGTCTGGGCCGTGTGGTCGGTCAGGCGGCTATGTAGCCGCCGTCGCCGCCCCGTCGCCGCCCCGTGGACGCCTCCTCGCCGCCCGTCGCCGTTGGATGTCACCCACATCGACTTCACGAAAACGCGATCGCGCCTGCTGCCCACTCACTGCTCAATCCAATCGGCTGCCATCCAACCGATAGCAATCCAAACGATTGCATCGAAACTGGTTGCAATCGACTGAACCGCACGGCTTACACCACATAGCTCACGCCACATGAGTACGTTAGCTCATATCCCATTGTTTGCATAACATAGCGGGTACCACGTATCTCGCGCCGCACACTCGAATACGCTAGATCGTGCCACATCCATTGCATCACGCAGCTTACAGGACGTAGCTCACACCACATAGATGAGTAAGCTAGCTTCAACGACCTAGATTGCACCACCTAGCTTGCACACTGTCGCTCCCACCACATGCAAGAGTACACTAGCTCTTGCCACATTGAGTTTATACATCCATGTATATCTATACGTACCATAGCTTGCACCACATAGACGGGCACACACGGGTTGTACCGTACATATGTGCACCATATGTATGTACCATCTTACGTACTGATGTACAAAAGTGCTTCAGCACAGACGGTACGGATTCTTTCACACAGATGTCACACCCTATCTTGCACCACATGGATTGCACTTCACAGGTTGCACAACATAGGTAACTGGAAACACACTGCTCAGGGGGACGTAAGACCTGGGACCTGGGTACAGGGGACTCGGAACTCCCCGACGAGGTCGTCAAAAAAATGACGAGGCCGAGCCTGCATTTTGACGAGGCCTCCCGCTGCAGACATCCCACGAAACTCCTCCTCGTCAAAATCCGAGGCGCGGTCGTCAAAAAACGATGGCGAACCCGAGTCCTGGCAAACCCGGGTCTTACGCTCCCCCGAACTGTTAGGGGTCCACGCTGGCTGATTTCCGTAGAAATGGCCTGGGTACTCTCCAAACCTACAGCGCAACGCACTACGTCCAACTGCGCCTCTCGGCCTGGTGGCGCCCCTTCCGAGAAAGACTTGCACGCCATGGGCATGGACACACAACTTGCACCGTGCCCGCATCCACTGGTCACCGCACCGACCTTGCAGGCGTGCTGCAGCGGATTTTTTTGCGTGGATTCCTGCCAGTGCAAAACCCCGAAACGGCGAGTGGAAACGGAGTGAACGTCGCATGTATGTTTCAAATCTCCATTCCTGGCCAAGACAGTCCACACGAAATGCACCTCGAGATCGGGAACGACATTCTCCAGACACTCTGGGCCCATCTGATCGTTTTCCGAACCAAATCCGCTCTGCGATGTCGGCGCCATGGCACAGGTCTTAACTCGGGCGTGTCCCCCTACAGGGGTTTTTTCGACGAAATAAACGAAAATACCCTAATTAACAATAATCAAAAATAGTCCCCTCGATCGTGCAGCCTCGAGCCTCGAGCCTCGTGCCTCGAGCCTCGATGCTCGAGCCTCGAGCCTCGATCCTCGATCCTCGAGCCTCGATCCTCGAGCCTCGAGCCTCGATCCTCGAGCCTCGATCGTCGATCCTCGAGCCTCGAGCCTCGAACCTCGATCGTGCAGCCTCGATCCTCGATCCTCCATCGTGCAGCCTCGAGCCTCGAGCCTCGACCCTCGAGCCTCGATCCTCGTCCCTCGAGCCTCGACCCCTGCGCCCCGGGGCCGGGCCTGGGCTCCCGGCATGCTCGCAGAGGCCAGGGGAACGCTGCAGGGAAGGGGCGGGCAGCCGAACGGCCGCCTGCGCAGAGCCGAGCGGCCCTTTTGTGCATGCCTCGGGGGGCCTGTGCTAGAGCTCCATGGGCGGCGGGCGCTCCACGCCTCCCCCTTTGGTTGCCTCCCTCCTCCCTCCTCCCTCCCTCCTCCTCCCTCCTCCTCCTCCTCCTCCTCCTCCTCCTCCTCCTCCTCCTCCTCCTCCTCCTCCTCCTCCTCCTCCTCCTCCTCCTCCTCTCCTCCTCCCTCCTACTTCCTCCCTTCCCTCTTCCTTCCCCCCCCCCCTCCTCCTCCTCCTCCTCCTTCCTTCCTCCTCCTCCCCTCCTCCTTCCCTCCCTCCCTCCTCCTCCCTCCTCCCTCCTCCTCCTCCTTCCTCCTCCCTCCTCCTCCTTCCCCCCCCCCAGGCACTCCGCCCGGGAACTGCCGTTCCCCCTCGCGCGCCCCCCTCCAGACGGCGGCAGTGCACGCTCAGCAAATTCCTAGAGAGAGGCTGCACAACATAAGGACAAGCCACAACTGGTGTGATCGGCTGCCGACTCGCGTGCTGGCGCGTCCGTGGGAGACGAAAAAGCACTTGCCACGAGCTTGAAAGCGTGGCGTGTGGCCCACAACTGTCCTGACCAGTCCCCAGCGTGATCGAGAATGGTCTCCCGCTCTGGCTCACAAAAAGCTCGTTGACGGGAACAGCGGTGGGCATGCCGCAGCTGGAATGACGCTGGGCACCGACCTCTGGGCTCGCGACTCCAGGGGCACTCCACTTTAAAAAAACCACGCGACCACTCGATACCGAGTGGGAGACGACAGAGAACATTCATCGGCGTCGCACGAAGGACGGTCAGACCTAGGGCTATTGGATGCAATGAACAACCGTTGCCACTGAAGGGAAGGGCTAGCGGGACAGGCCGTCCCAGTCGCGCTAAGCTGGAAAGGGAACGAGAAAAGCGTTGAGCGACGAGTGCTGGGCAAGCGGACCAGGACAAGGGGGAGAAGGAAGAGAGGAGGGGTGGGCGAGCAATCTAGACTACAGCGACGGAGATCGACCCAAACGTAAGCTTTGATGAAAACGTTTGATGTCAAATTCAACTCTAGGAATCTCCGAAACATGCCTCTCCTCCTGAATGCGTATCAGACGTGGCGTTCGCATAATCATGACCGTCGCTCATTGAGACCACACGCCGGCAGGCTTCGAAGACTACCAGGCGCCAGGCCTCACGGCCCGCTGGAACGCCTAGCTCCTAGCTTGGCCACGTGCTGGCCGACACGGGACACTGGCAGCTGGTGCCCATTGCATCGGCTCCAAATCCGCTGCAAACACATCACTTCAAATCACTTCGAGAAGGGCAACGCTCGAATACTCTGGGACTGGGCCAGGTCGGAGTTGTACCGCAAACTGGCGCGGCTTTCCCTGCACCAATCGCAGCCTGCCGTCCCTCCCGGGGCGCGGCCTGGTCAGACAGACCAGCGGAGCACGCTGAGCAGGATCGCCTCAACCTCGTGGTGACCCTTCTCCCGCGCGAGCTGGGACGGCACCCTACCGTCCGTGGTCGCCAGGTCGGGGTCGGCCCCGTGTCGGAGCAGCAGGCACAGGACCGCGGCGCGCCCGTACTTGCAGGCGTAGAAGGCGGGCGTCTCCCCGCGCAGGCCCGAGGCGCGCCTGTTCACGTCCGCGCGCGCCTCGAGCAGGTGCCCCACGACGGCGGCGTGGCCCTTCTTGGCCGCCACGTGCAGGGCCGTGAGGCCGAAGTCGTCCGCCGCGTCGGGGCTCTCCCCGCCCTGCAGCAACGACAGCAACGCGCCCACGTCCCCGCGCTCCGCGACGCGGACGATCTCGGGCACCCGGCAGACCAGGCTCACCGGGCCCACCGCGCGCAGCAGCGGCGCGGGGCCCTTCGTGGCCACATCGATCTTCGGCTTCGTCGCCTCTGGGATCTCGAACACAGCGCTGCGGACTCCGTCGGAGGCCTCCGGATCGATGACGTGAAAATGGTGGGCTTGCTTTCCACAGCCACCATTGTAAGTAGGAGGGGGGGGGTCCTCCGCCTCCGCCTCCTCCTCCTCCTCCTCCGCCTCCGCCTCCGCCTCCTCCTCCTCCTCCGCCTCCGCCTCCGCCTCCTCTTCCTCCTCCTCCTCCTCCTCCTCCTCCTCCTCCTCCTCCTCCCCTCCTCCTCCTCCTCCTCCTCCCTCCTCCTCCTCCTCCTCCTCCTCCTCCTCCTCCCCTCCTCCCCCTCCTCCTCCTCCCCCTCCTCCTCCTCCTCCTCCTCCTCCTCCTCAGCCTCCTCCTCATCTTCGTCTTCCTCATCTTCCACCTCCTCCCCCCCTCGGCCTTATGGTGGTGGTGGTGGAAAACAGGCCCATCATGAGAAAGCAAGGAGTCCTTCTCGCTGGGGGTGAAACTGTCCTCGTCCTGGGAGGCTTCCTCCGACCCCGGGAGGCCGTGGTTCTCCAGGAGGGCGCGCAGCGACGGTCCGGCCCTCAACTCGCCTGCAAAGGCGCGCACGAGGATGGTCATGAGGCGCAACAAGAGTTCGCGCAGATTTGTGCCGCAGAGCGTATAAATTGAATACGCGCCTTGAGCCCAGTTGGCTACGGAGACACTCAGCCCGGGAGCTCTGGGTGCCCCTGCGGGTCCGTGGCCTCGATCCTGCAGACAGTGAGGGGGAACGTTGGGGAGGGACTCCCTCAGGGAGGGGAGCGTCGAGCTTGACTCGGCGATACATCGCCGATAACTCGGCGACAGGCCCCCGATTGCAAATCTGCACGCTCCTGGGCGGGCTGGGCTACGAGCCAGGGCCCACACAGGGGATGCAGTGGCGAGTGGGGGACGATGCCCCCCCTCTGAGCCTACATATCCCCCTAGCGATGCCCTCGGCAACACTCGGCCGAAGACAGCTCGCATGCCGGAGGCAGTCCACGGACCAGCTTCCTAAGAAGATGTGACCATCAAATCCTCGATCTCCTACCCTCCGCGAAACTCGATCGTCGCCCGTCCTCACCTCGTGGGCCCTCGGGCTGGCAAGGCCACGCTGGCCTCAACAAGTCTCCTGAGAATTGGGTCGGACACGTCCTCCTACAGGCGGATCCTGGACGAAAAATGAAACAGAGCCAACACATGGCTCGAAACATCCTCAGAAACAGTCCACAGAACAAAAAACCGTCCCCAGACTATGTTTGGACTATCTTTGAGGATTCCTCCCGCAGAGGCACAGGCCCAGATTTCACCCGAGAAGCCCGGGGCGGCCGCAGCAGCCCAACCTCGGGGGGCGCGGAGCGCCGCGCTCCTGGCGCCGCCCGAGGCGGCGCGGGAGCGTCTGGCGAGGGCCTCGGGGAGGCCGGACACGGCCCGACCTGGCCCGAAGACCCCAATGTCGGGTGGGTGGGAGGAGGAGGAGGAGGAGGAGGAGGAGGAAGAGGAAGAAGAGGAGGAGGAGGGGGGGGGGAAGAGGAGGAGGGGAGGAGGAGGAATAAGGAGGAGGAGGAAGGAGGAGGAGGAGGAGGAGGAGGAGGAGAGGGGGAGGAGCGAACTACGGGTTCCACATGTGTGCTTTTTCACACTGCTCCCCGACGACCCCCCCCCCGGGAATGGAGGGCAGAGTGGGGCCTTCGGGTTGGCGGGGTGGCTTCTTGGGTTTGGCGGCGCGCGTAAACGGGGTTAGGGGGAGGGGGGAAGGCGTCTCTTGGAAGGAGGCTGCTCCCAAAAGGCGTCAGCCCTACATCTATAGATACGGCCCGCGCCTCTTAAGAAGTAGAGGTACTGCTGAGAAGCCTTCTGGATGCTCATTCTGGGGACCGTTCTGGAGACACTCGCTCCACTCGTGCGTCGAAGCTGCGTCGAACGTCCGTCAATTTTAATCGACCCTGTGTCGGCCCTGTGTCGGCCCTGAGTCGAACCTAAGTCGAACTAGAGTCAAACCTGAGTCGAACTGGTGTCGAACAGATCCATTGGGTGTGCCCCAAGGCTCCCAAAACGAGCACCTAACCTCCATCTACACCCCGCGGCGCGTGGCCGATGGGTCGTGAGGACGTGAGGCAAGTCGGACTCCACATCGGAGGGTGACCTGGAAATCCTCGTCGACCGTGGTTAATAATCATTATGTTCAGATTATACCCTTATTGGATTAGTATCCTGTGGATGGATCGGTGTCCCCCCTCCTCGCCAGATCGTTTGCATTCCGGAATAATGGGGTCGATATTCCGACATAATGAACCAAGGTTGATCACAGTCCAAACTCCTTCTCAGGCGCCCCCCTTCCGACGAACAATTATCATTCCGGAATAACAAACCTGAGTTCGCTATTCCCAGAACATTAAGAACCCCAGTTTATGATGTTCTAGGGATAACGGATTAGGGTCAATATTCTGACATAAGGAATCCCAAATGAGAGGCGCGGTGCTGGGAGGAAATAATAATTATAATCATTTTGGAATCCTTCATCCGGATTCAGATTATCCGCCTATGGCTCTGGCGACGCCCCTCAGCCACCATTACTATCAGTCCAAAATAATCAACCTGGGTTCGGTATTCCCGATCGATATTCCTGGCACATTGTAAACCAAGGTGTACAATGTTCCTGGGCGACTATGATGAATCCCAATCAATATGTCCCAGAACATCACAACCCAAATTCGTAATGTTCCGGGGGCGGGGGGGACATAGTGAACCCTGGTCGATAATCCCGAAAAATTGCTAACCCAGGTTGCTTTTTGGGGTTCGTCCTGCCACATCGAGCCGCATCGGCGATGCATCGGCGATGCGGCGCCATCCTCCGACCCCATCTCCTCCGACCCCATCTGGGAAGCCTAGATTCCCCCGCCACGCGTGGCCGATGGGTGGTGAGCCTGTGATGGGCCTGTTTTCCAACATCACCACCATCGGTTGGAGGGGGGAAGGACGTGGAGGAGGAGGAAAAGGAGGACGAGGAGGAGGACGAGGAGGAGGAGGAGGAGGAGGACGAGGAGGAGGAGGAGGAGGGAGGGAGGGAGGGAGGGAGGGAGGGAGGAGAAGGAGGAAGGAGGAGGAGGACCCCCCTCCCTCTCCTGCCCTGTGGCAGTGGTGGTGGCAGATGGGCCCCTCCGCTCGTGCTCGACGCGCTGGTAGGGCCCGGGAGCCTGGGCTCGATGGCCACGAGCCGCCGCCGCAGGGCAGCGCCTCCGCCCGGGGCGGCGCCTCGCTCCCCGCGCAGGACCTGGCGGCCGCCCGGGGAGGCCGCCGCCGCGGCTGGCGCCGGCGCCGGCGCCGGCGCCGCCGCCGCCGCTCTCTCTCTCTGCTGGGCCTGCTTTCCAAAAGCTGGAACGGGAGGGGGTCCTCCTCCTCGTCCTCCTCCTCCTCCTCCTCCTCGTCCTCCTCCTCGTCCTCCACCTCCTTCCCCCCTCCAACTCATGGTGGTGGTGGTGGTGGAAAACAGGCCCATCATGCTCTGCGTTGAAAGCGCCGTGATCACCGAGGTGCAGCACGCGTCGAACTCTGGCACCGCAGGGGGAAGCACCAGGGGCAGGAGGCATGCCCGTTTGCGACCAAGCTGGGGGATGCCTCGGGCGCGGCGCTCATGTGGCGTCGCCGGCACTCCTCTGCTTCTGATAAGCGCACTGCAATCACCGTGTGATGTGGCAAGCGGCGTGTGGCACCTGAGCACCCCACAGGGGAGACGCCAGGGGATAGGACACCTGCCCGTCCGCGCCCAGGCTCCGAAAATGTCTTGGGCGAGGCGGTCGTTTGGCGTCGCCGGTTGAGTTGCTTTGAGAGCCCCGTGATCACCGCGATGTAGCGGGCGTCGCTCGTGCGCGCCCAAGGGGCGCCCCAAGATGCCTTCAAGAGGCCCTCGAGAGAACCCCCCAGGAGACCTCCCAAGGACGCATCCAAAGGGCCTCTAGCCCACGCAGACCCCGGGATATCCTGGGCCCCTGCGACATTCGTGGGAGACTCCGGGGAGATCCTGGGAGGCTCCAGAAGCCATCTCGGGGGCCTCTTGTGCCGTCTTGGGCAGGTCATGGCGGTTTGGAGGGGGTCTCTTGGCATCGCTTCAAGTACGCCTACGGCCACCTTCACACATTTGTGGCTGAAGTATCCTTTTCTGGAGGCCGCAAACATGCCCCGCACCCCAGCGGCTGAATGCGTTACCAGTGTGGAGACGCTCCTGTTTTATCGATATAGGTTTAGCATAATGTTCTTTCCCGTGAAGCCCAACATTCCAGCTCACGGGAGGCCAGGATTGTTCGTACGTGTTTCAGGGAAGATGTACTGTCGTTGTCACATTGTGGCTCAAGGCCAAAATGCATCTGCTTATCCTGCTGCTGCCACAGTTGGTAGCGGAGCAGTGTTCGGCGCGGCATGCATGGGCGCCCCCAGGCACCGCTGATCAGCGGTGGTGTCGGGGGCAGCTCGGGCGGCTGCGCGGGCGCTGCTCTCACCGGACTGGACAGAGCGCGGATCCACGGCAGGCATTGATGCCAGGGCCAGATGACACTGGCCCAGGAGACGAGAAGAACGAGATGTACGCCGTCATTGGCGGAGGACGCTTAGCCCAGTCAGAGGGGACTGGGGAGGGGACGGCGCCACCGCCACCCGTCGGAAGCGCAGCGAGCTCGAGCCCACAGGTCACAGAGCAGCTGAAGCAGCTGATCCAGCAGGCCGTGAAGGACGCAGTGAAGAACCTCGGCCCAGGGCTCAGCCATAGCGCCGCCGGCGCAGACGACGACTACGGCGGCACCAAGAGCGGCCGGCAGGAGAGCTCGAGGGGTCAGGATCCCTGGAGCGACGGCCGCGATCCATGGAAGAGTGGACAGCCGGAGCCTGACGAGAGCAAGTGGGGCCCTGGGGGCCGACAGCAGCAGGACACCAAGCGAGACGGCGTCAGGGACTCCGACTGGAAGGACGACGACAAGGGCGGCTGGAGGAACCACAACTGGAACGAGGGCGGCTGGTCAAAAGGTGACTACTCAGACCCACCTACCTGGCCAGGATGGGGCCACTACCGCCTGTGGAAAAAGGCGATCCAGCGGTGGAACCACAACACTGACGTGCAGCTGTGGAGGCGGTCTGAGCGCTTCTTGAAGCTGTTCGACTGGACGATGCAGGCGAAGTTCGAGGACATCAGCGAGAACGTGCTGTGCGGGCCCCGCTGGCTGGACACTCTCCTCGAGAGAATGGACCTCATGAGCGGCCAGCGAGAGGGCGACGACATGCGCCGAGCGGGTCGCAGGGCACTGTTCGAGTGCACGAAGGGCCAGAAGGAGAGCCTCACGCAGTTCGTAGCGAGGCGCGATCAGCAGATGACCGACGCCGAGAGCCACGACATATGGATGTCGGATAAGATGAAGGGTCTCATGCTCGAGGAGGGTGCGGGACTGAGCGCGCAAGGTCA